ACTACCGAGTCAATATAGAACACGCGCCGTATATTAATCCGATAATAGCAATAAACTTAAGATGAAAACGATTGAGATTGATAACCTCAACACAAGCGGTTTATTGGTTTAATCAATATAATTAATTCCCCTTAGATTATTAACCATGAGATGCATGCATTAATAATCCAAGTTTACTACCGTGAAAGGACCGAACGATTAACAAGCGTATTCGTCGACCGATTCTAATAATAATTAATATATGAAACAAAACTAGTTGATCCTTTAAGTAATGCTCAGAATATTAATATGAATATGAATAGGAATTAATTAATATTCAAGGAAGACTATTAAATAAAATAAATGCTACTATAATTAATGTCGAGATGTTATCTAATTGTCATCTTAGCAACACTCTCCGACATTTATATAGAGATAGATTAATTAATATTCAAGGAAGAAGATTAAAGAAAATAACTCACAACTTACACATCATTAAGCTTCAACGTAGCAAAACCAAGATGGAAGAGTTTAACTCCTCATTTGGAGACTAAACATACTAGATTACTAGAAAATATAAAGAAAACTCTTACCTAAACTGAGCTTAGAGTATATGTGAATTGGTGCTTTTAATGTAAAGGGAAAGGAGTGTATTTATTTCAAAATAGAGGTGACAGGGTGCTGTACTCGATCGAGTATATGAGATACTCGACCTAGTACAAGAGGTAGTTTCCAGGAAGCTGCGAAATATAGGCATACTCGGTCGAGTATTGCCAATACTATATCGAGTATGAGATAGGATTTTCATCAAATATTCAACCACATTCTTTTGCTCCCAGATTTGATTTTGACCAACGTATCGGTCAATACTCGACCCAGTATTGGCAATACTCGACCGAGTACATGAACGTATTTTAAAATCTTCCTTTAATTTGATCTTCTCCCTTTTGCACATTCTTTGGTCTTTAGGATCCAACCTTTGATTCTTGGGATGATTTTGACCTGTCCTAAGGTTAGAATAATCCTAATATAAACAAATTACATCTATCTTGGAAAATAAAGTAATTACACTAAAAGTGTGCAATTTATCTTACCACAAACAATAAAACTAATTAAAAGTGAAACAATACATAATAAAAATACGACATCATCAAGTATATTTCTTGTATGACACCATTGTTACACCATTGTTGCTCCATATAGAGATGACAATTGTGACAGAACCGATGGATACCTTCACCGAACTGCCCCGATCAAAATAGGGAAAACCGCATTCACCGGGTAACGGGAATGGGGTGGGGAATACCCGTTTTGTTTTTACGGGTAATGGAGCAGTTACGGGTTTATACATGCCCGCCCCATTACCCGCCCCATACCCGCCCCATTTATTTGTAGTTATATTTTTATTATGTTTTTATCTATTATTTGTCTCACAAATTTTAAAAGATGAGATTTTTTTTCTTATCGTTATGTATATATAGATAATAGATGTACTAACTATAATGTATAAATGAAAGTTCATAATAGATTTTAATAATCTTGTTTGATTATTATCATATTTTTTTGTGATTAATTATTTTTTAGATCAAGTATTTTTAGGTTCAAATTAATTTAAGTTGCTTCCTTTCCCGTCTTGTAGATATACGCATCTTTAAAGTGGCATCTTAGAGTGGTATAGGCGATGTCATTATTCACCTTTTAAAATATTATTCATATATCAAAATTTAATGACTCAATTAATAAAGCAGTTACCCGCTGTTACCCGAAGTTTTACCCGTTACCCGTTGGTGTGGTTATGGTTTGGGTAAAAATCACCCGTTGAGTAATGGGGCGGTTATGGGTCAGGGAAATTACCCAACGTGGTGGTTACGATTATATATAAAACCGTCCCGATCCGCCCCGCTTCCATCCCTAGCTCCATATTATATATATATATATATAGTACACACACACACGTCAATTATCAGTTATCTAACTTGACTTTATATTACATATTTAAGTATTATTAGGGGTTATGATACCATTAATAAAACTTGGGAAATTTCACTGAATCCAACTAAAACATATTGAGTTTCCCGAAAAGTGACTAGGTTTTGTTTTTTTCCTGAAATATAACTAAAAATTGGAAGAAGAAAAAAGAAATTCTCATTATATTGAAATGTGGAAGGACGAAAATACTTTTATTTTAAAAAACGCATTTTGCACTAATTTTGTTCGAGTAAAAATTTTTCACTAATTCTGTACTTCATGCATGTCGGCGTTCACGACACGACTGACGAGCACTTTGTCACGGTGCGTCAAAATAAATTCAATACTAGCACTTATACGTAGTATAGCGTAGTAGAGTTCGTATCCACATGGAAAGGAATAATTCTCTTTTTATGAAACTTAGTAAATAAAGGGGGGATTTGGATTGAGTGATGTAATTTAAATAAAAACTAAGATGAACGACTTATATGATATTTAATTCAAAGATAAAAAGGACTTGGTATTGCTACTTTCCACTTGTTGATATATTTTAGTCGATCTTCGTTATATCTATAACTTATTCCCTCTCGAATACTCAATCGGGGAGTATATCCACTTCATCGAGGGTAGTTATTAACAACAACCGTTCATTAATAACCCTTACTATTAATCAAATATAGAACAACGCCTTATACCGGTTTAATAGTAGCATTTAATCTTTCTAACTCCTTGATGAAATCAATTGAGATTGATAACCTCAACACAACGGTTTCAGTTTAACCAATAAAATTAATCCCTCTCAAGTTTATTAACCACGACCGTGCATTAATAAACCGAAGTTACTTACTTGTGAAACCATCAACGATTAACCATCGATTCGTTGATCGTTTCTAGTAATAATTAATATATGAAACAAAACTAGTTGATCCTTTAAGTAATGTTCAAAATATTAATATGAAATATGAGTAGGAATTAATTAATATTCAAGGAAGAATATTATTAGAGAAGATGAATCCTACTATAATTAATATCAAAATGTTAACTAATTGTCATCTTAGCAACACTCCCCAACATTAATATAGAGGAAGAAAATACCATTCTAACTAATGTCGAGATGTTAACTAATTGTCATCTTAGCAACACTCCCCAACATTAATATAGAGATCGTATTAAGGAAAGAACTATTAATTAATATTCAAGGAAAGAAGTTAAGAAAATAACTCACAACTTTAATAATCAACAAGCTTCAAGAGCAACACCAAGAATGGAAGTTTAGCTCCTTATTTGGAGACTAAACATAGCTAGAAAAATATAAAGAAATGCTATTCTAAACTGAGCTTAAGAGTATGGAAGAAGGAATGATTAAAAGTGAAGGAAAATGAGGTTATTTATAGGTGTTTTCAAGACCTATAGCCGGATACCCGGCCGGGTATTTTGACATACCCGACCGGGTATTTACCAAATCAAATATTTTCCTATGTTTTTGTGTCTTCTGCACGTTCTTTGGTCCGAAATCACTTGATACCCGACCGGGTATATGGAATACCCGACCGGGTATTTGCTAGTTTTGTAGCAGTTTCCTTTGTCACTTCATACCCGACCGGGTAAAGGCCATACCCGATCGGGTTTTGCACAAAACTCAGGTTTATTCATCCTTTTTGCTTCCAAACCTATCCTAAACTTATAGCCGAACTAACTACAACTTACAACAAACAATAAAATTCTAGAAATATGATTACAATCAAATGCAAACTAACAACTATAAACTTGCACAAAACTAGTAAATAAACATTACAAACAATAATAAAAATGTATACTTAGGCACTAACAACTAGTGCCTATCAACGACATATAATCCACTTCAAACACTTAAGTTATGAAACTTCAATTTATCGTTTTTCATGTTTTGATAACGTTAGCATTTACGTTTAGAGCTCGTTTGGTAACACTAAAATTTGCTGAATTGGCTGATTGTGCTGAAATTTATGAAGTTATGGCTGAAATGGCTGTATTTGCTTATTCTACTGATTGATGAAAAAATTATATTTAAAATATTTGTTTTTAATAAATTAAACAAAAAATTATATGAAAACGTATCTAAAATGATCCTCTACAGTAGCTTCAACCAATACGCCCAGAAAAGTAACTCCAACATTACTTTTTGTGCTTATTACAAACTTCAGCACGCAAAATCTAAAGTTATGTGTATAGTGAAAAGCTAGCTGATAAGCCTGATAAGTCGAAAAAGGGGGTTTTCAAACGGGCTCTTAATTGTGTATGAGTAACTCGATAAGACATGACTAGTCATTGTGTATGAGTAACTCGACAAGAGTCACCATAGTGTTGTACTTTAGAGTGACAAGACATTACTATATGGTGAGTCAGTAGAGACTAGTCACTCAATATGTCACTTTTTTGGAAAATTTTAAAATAAGTTATATTTTTTATCTTTTGAATTTAATTTAGTACTCCCTCCGTCCCATTTAAAGGTTTGCGTCCACTATTTTTCGGTAAACGTGCATTATTCTTAATCTTTTACTTTATATATCTAACTTTTATCAAATTTAAATTTTCTTGATCAGACTTTGTACCGGTTTTAATATAGTTTCTGAATATGTAAATTTTATTTACTAAAAATAATTCTACTAATGACAGAGTTTAATTAACTTTATGGTCAATTAAACATCGTAAATCACGCGGCAACGTTTAAATGGGATGGAGGGAGTAATATTCATGGAAAATGCCTTTTAGATTTGATAACTATATTTTATATATCTCAAATGTTAATGTTCTGCATTATTGCACTTCTTGTCATAATCACTTTATTTATGGTCATGCATTGCATTTCTTGTCATAATCACTGCGCTTTTTCTGATATTCACGACATTAAATATGAACTATTCATTGCACATTTTCATCAATCATAGTCAACCTAGGGTTCATCTTTAAAGAATTGAGTAAATTCCCTAAATAGGAGTAAAAAAGATTTGAAATTCCAAAATAGGACTATCATGTTTTTTATTCACTAAATAAGAGTAAATTTCTGCCAAGTTTCGCATTACTAGGATTTTAAACATGACATTTTTTTCCAAACATGACAGATTACTTTTATTCAAGGACTAAACAACATGATACACCTATTTTAGAATTTGCTATTTTTTTTCTATTTAGGGTAATTTCTATAAAGAATTTGAATGGTTGGAACGGCCATCGAGTGGCATTCTTTGGGAACATTAATTATCAACCCTAATTTGAAGAAATAGAAAAAGAAACGGAAGAAAAAAGCGAAGAAGAGGATGACGACGTAAGACTGCCTCTCCTCTCTAGGTTACGTATCTTTCATCTACAGCAACTCTCTTTTCTCTCCCCCTTTCCCTTACTGTTGAGTGCCACAGCACTCCACTACCTTTTTCTCCCTCAGCTTTATTCTCTCTCTATCTGTGACTCTGTGAAGCAAGCAGGAGCTGAATTATGACTCTTGAAGAGTCCTTAAGATCTCTGTCTTTGGATTATCTGAATCTGCTCATCAACGGCCAGGCTTTCAGCGACGTAACGTTCAGCGTGGAGGGAAGGCTGGTCCATGCCCACAGGTGCATCTTAGCGGCCCGCAGCCTCTTCTTCAGGAAATTCTTCTGCGGCCCGGACTCCCCCGGCGCCGGGGGCGCGTCGTCCTCCCCGCCGGCGGCGGTGATTCCGGTTAAATCCGTCGGGTACGAGGTTTTCTTGCTCATGCTTCAGTTCTTGTACAGCGGCCAAGTGTCTGTTGTGCCCCAGAAGCACGAGCCCAGACCTAACTGCGGGGAGAGAGCGTGCTGGCACACCCATTGCTCCTCCGCCGTCGATCTTGCCCTCGACACCCTCTCCGCCGCTAGATCTTTTGGCGTTGAACAGCTCGCTTTGCTCACCCAGGTTGTCTATGTAAATATGGACATATATAGTAATTTCTCATCTGGTCTTTCACTGTCTGTTCTTTCCAAAAATCTGATCTTTAACTTCTAGTTACTAGATTTTCTTAACATAAATTTTAGCTAAATACGAGGTCAAACACATAAACTAACACAACTCACGTACACTTTCCAATTCCTGTTTTTGTGAAAAAAACAGCACATGTTTTTTTAAAAGAGCTTATAATTATGTATCTTGATTTCATGTGACAGTGCTTAGATCAGTGTTTCCAAATTGAGATCTGCTGGCTTCGTAATGTCTCACATGTCATGTCTAGCTTCACATGTAATCAGTCACACCAAATCTTTCCCATGTAATCTGCTTTAATTTCCTCATTTGGTAGCAAGAAGCCAAATAGAAATGAACTATTAATGCTGATGAATGCCTATACTATACTATGCCCTACCTCATCTCATTTTTTCACAACACAGCCAACACCTCGTTTTGGCTATCTGTAATCCTTTACTCTATCAGAATAGGATATAAAATATGGGTATTTATAAAATAATTTGCTAGTAGTAATTACTCCGTAATAAATACTTTGAGTTTATAAAAAACCCGTGGACAGTTCAGTTTAGTCCAATATGATTGTTAAAACTTCTTTGAGAAATGAATGTCACATTGTACATTTTCGTATGAGAAAAGACAAGGGTGAATTCCCTAAATAGGAGCAAAAAAGTTTTGAAATTCCAAAATAAGACTATCATGTTTTTTATTCCTTGAATAGGAGTAATTTTTTGCCAAGTTTGGCATTACTAGGTTTTAAAATATGGCATTTTTTCCAAACATGACAGATTACTCCTATTCAGGGAATAAAAAACATGATACTCATATTTTGGAATTTCAAAACGTTTTTGCTCCTATTTAGAGCAATTTCTAAAAAGATAATTAACGCACCAGTATTTCAGAAATAATTGTTATATCCTAAAATTTAGGTTTTCCTTAAATATTACTCCTAAAATATAGCTTATGAACAAAAACAATACAAAACACTATAGTTATTATAATGCATAGTCACTATAATGTACAAGTAGATTTGAACATAATTATAATCATTAGATTACTATGGTAGTCACCAATGACTAAAGTATAAAATGTCATACTTTTATTCATTACCTTTATTTCAATCATATATTTCTCATTATTTCCCTAAAATTTCTAATATAGATATTTAACATCTATTCTTAATTTCTGTTTACTTACTACTCCGTATATTTTAACCCCATACTTTTATTTTCTTCTTATTTTAGTTAGCGAACCTGCTTTTTGAAGTGAATGATGTCTAACTTTGATCGATTATATATGTATATACATAAGTATTGATAATATGATAATGATATGAAAATTTTCTTTGTCAAAAGTAGTATATTACTTAAAATCATTGGTCAAAGTTATCATCTTTAAGTGGAAAAGTCAAAGACGACTAATTAAAATGAGACGGAGGGGTAGTAATTAACTTACCAATACTTTTAATTTGTCTTTCATATTTATCTATGTAGATGGCCTCAAAATTGGAATTGGGAAGTTTTGTAGGAGTTTCTCAATATTTTCATCATTAATTAGTCTAACCTTACTTTAGACCAATCAATGTCTATCATTCGGAGTATAATGACAGTCTTTAATCTCTTCCTAAATACTTCTCCGTACATATGTGTCAAGCTATAATATTCAAGTTTTCATTATATGCGTAATTATTAGTAGGATATCTGAATCAATCATTGCGGATTAGATATTGTATTCCAAAGTTTTACTCTAATTATTAAATTGTTGTCAGTTACATGTCACACTCTAAAACTATTAGTTAATGTGACTATCCAATGGTTTGAATACTGCATTTGGATAATAAGTTGACTTTACGCTATAATATGACTCGTTAATTTGTCAATGCAAAATTGGGATAGAATCATATTCATTTTAATTCTATATAATGTGGGTGTTGTTTTTGGGGATTAGCAGAAGCAATTGGCAAGCATGGTGGAGAAGGCTTCCATTGAGGATGTGATGAAGGTTTTGATAGCTTCAAGGAAGCAAGACATGCAGCAGCTTTGGACCACTTGCTCACAATTGGTTGCTAAATCTGGGCTCCCTCCAGAGGTGTTGGCCAAACACCTCCCCATTGAGGTTGTGGCCAAAATCGAGGAGCTCCGCGTTAAGTTCTCTATTGCGCGGCGCTCTCTATTTTCTCACCATCACCACAACCACCACCACGACACAGGCTCGGCGGCCGAAATGGAGGACCATAAGATCCGACGCATGCGTCGCGCCCTCGACTCATCAGACGTTGAGCTCGTCAAGCTCATGGTGATGGGAGAAGGGTTGAACCTCGACGAGGCGTTGGCCTTGCATTACGCTGTCGAGAATTGTAGCCGAGAGGTGGTGAAGGCCCTGCTCGAGCTTGGTGCGGCTGATGTGGACTACCCGGCTGGACCCGCAGGAAAGACTGCCCTTCACGTCGCCGCCGAGATGGTGTCGCCGGACATGGTGTCTGTCCTTCTTGACCACCACGCTGACCCTAATGTCAGAACCGTAGATGGAATCACGCCACTAGATATCCTTCGAACCCTAACCTCAGATTTTTTATTTAAAGGAACCGTCCCTGGGCTGGCTCGCGTCGAGCCGAATAAGCTGCGGCTTTGCCTAGAGCTAGTCCAATCAGCCGCCATGGTCATTTCACGTGAAGAAGGGAACAACGCCGCCGCAACCGCCGCCAACCAAACCTCAGGCGCCGTATATCAGCCAATCAGCGAAGAGCATACGCCCCACATAAGCGGCGGCAATATGGGAAGCAGTCTAAACCTGGATACCAGGTCCATGGTGTACCTTAACCTAGGAGCCGCCGCTCAGCATCAAATGAACGACAGAGACGAGACCAGCCGCCGCCAAAGCCAGAGCCGAAATAGCGGATGCTGCAATCCACCTTCAATGTACCACCATTCTCATCATCATGAGTATTGAGTGTTATGTCTCGACTCTTTCAATTCTGCTTACCTTCGATATACTTGATGAATGAATTAATTTATTAATTAGCCATACTATGCACGCTCGAATTCTTGGGTTTTTGTCAGATAACATTCATTAGCAAAAGATTAGTGTATTTCGTAAATTATACCGTGTTACCGGTGTAACCGGTACAAAAAACGATGTCGTTTCCTTCTTTTTCAAATGCTCATGGAGCACTACGAATCTTTTCTCTCTTTCCACTCAACTCCTCCGGGTTTCTTTCTTTTATTTTGTTTTTTTATTTTCTTCAATTCTTTTCTCCTCTTCATCAAAATAAAAAAAAATTAATTGTGATTTTACTTAATCTTTACTTTTAACTAATTTATTACTCCCTTCAATCCTTAATTAACTTTACACTTTCCTTTTTGGGTCGTCCCTTATTAAACTTTACATTTCCTTATTTGCCTTATTTGACAAACAAATCTATACCAAACAGTGCACAACAGTGCCAAACAGTGTCAAACAGTGTACTCTACAGTAAAGTCAAATTTATGTCCTTAATATGTGTGAAGTCATAGTGTAAAGTTTAATACGGACTGGAGGGAGTACAAAAAATTATTAATCCACATAAAATAAGTATATTGCGTTAATAATCATACAATATTCTTTTACTTTTTTTTAATTTCAACAAAAATTACTACTGAATTTATATTTTGTGTAATATATTCTTACATTTATATACCTTTTTTGTAAAATGCTTTTGATATTCATACACTTTTTTCTATAATGTGTTTCTTATCTCTTTGCAAAATATAATAATAAATTTCTTATCTCTTTTAAATGTATTTAGTGTTTTTTAAGACATTAAATTTGTTTATTTTGATTTAAATTTGATAAAACATGAGATTACATTATATTTTTCATATGTGTGAGTTATGTTTATAGACAACTTATGCAATTACATTTTATAAGATATGGAGTTACATCTTCTTATGAGCGAGTTACATCTTCTTGTGCATGAGTTACATATTCCTATGTGTGAGTTACATTTGAACTTGCCTCAACAAGTTACATTTTGCATGAACCTAAGTTAGATTTTCATCAACGTGATTTACATTTTTTCTTAACACGAGTTACATCAAAAACTAAACTCCCGCTATTGAAACAAAAAAATCATTTTTTTTTGCAAAAAAAAAAACATTTTTATGGGGGAAAAAATGACTTTTTTTATAAAATGATTTTATTGGCATCATTTTTGTGGCCTTGATACTAAAAACAAAACATATTAACTATTTACATAAAATAATTTGAGCAAATAGACTCCTTTTTTCATTATTTACATTTGATAGTATATGAAGTTACATCTTTTGATTCGCGAGTTATAATTACATCGTTTTTATACGTGAGTTACATCTTCAGAAACGTGAGATACATTTAGATTTGCTTTAACGAGTTACATTTTGTATTCATCTCAGTTAGATTTTTCATCAACGCGAGTTACACTTTGAATAACACGAGTTACATATATCACAACATAAAGTCATGCTATTGAAACAAAAGAATCGTTTTTTTTTTGCAAAAAAAAAATATTTTTTTTTGGCAAAGAAATGATTTATTTGGCAAAACAAGTGATTTAAAAAAACATTTTTATGACCATAATATTAAGAATAAACACATTCACTATTTAAGGAAGCCACTGCTAGTGAAACAAAAAAAACACTTTTTTGCCAAAAAAAAGGTTTTTTTTTTGCAAAAAAAATGATTTAAAGAAAAATAACATTATTTATGGCCTTAATATAAAAAACATATTCACTATTTATGTAACTTGTAAAGTAATTGAGCAATTAAACTCCTTGTTTTTATTGAAATCAATGTTTTATTTCTTATAATACTTACGGAGTATTAGACAAGTCACATTTCCACTTGTCCGTAGTTACATTTGTTATCAGCGTGAGTTACATTTCCTTACACGCGAGTTACATCATTCATGCTACTGGGACAAAATGAAAAAAAAAAGTTACTGTATACGCGTCAACTGTTCACGCGTCTACTGTTCACGCGTCTACTGTTCACTCGTCTACTGTTCACGCGAATTTAAAAAAAAAAAATTAGTGCAAAGCTATGTCGTTTTGATAGTGGAGCATGATGCTTACCGTGGAATTATCCTACGGTATATTTTGTTATTATTATCATCTTTATCCAATTGACCTCGTGCTTAGGAATAGTGGCAAGTGACTCGCAACCACTTTATCCAACGATTTCTATTGGTATTCGTTTCATTTTTTAAGGGAAAAAGGTCAGATAGGATCTCGAACTTACAATAATGTCAAATAAGGTCTTATATAGGAGGTTCTGTCTGGCCGACGCCATTTGTGGCAGTTCCCGGTGTCGTTTTTCGATTAAATTTTGTGAGCATCTTATTCAATAAGTCTAGTTTACTCATACCAGATTTCAGCTAAAGCTTCAATCGGAAAGGCATTCAAATAAATTCTTGAAGATAACTGCGCTTTTAACTGCACACTTATCTTCAATAATTTATTTGAATGCCTTCCCGATTGAATTGTTAGATGAAAATTGGTATGAGTAAACTAGACTCAATGAATAAGATGCTCAAAAAGTGTCATTGAAAAATTCTACCGGGAACCTCCCCAAATGGCGTCGGCCGGACAAAACCTCCTATATAAGGCCTTATTTGACATTTTTTGTAAGTTTGAGGCCCTATCTGACCCTTTTCCCTTTTTTTAATAAACTAATTATTTCACTCTGTTGGATGGACCGGATATATTATACGATAGTACTTGCTAAGTCCCTTAAAACTTTGTCAAGTTTCACGGGAACGGAGATTAATAAAGTGAAAACTGCATAGTTTATGTTTGTGCAGAGGATAGAGAATTAACTGAAATCACAAAATCTTTACTTAAAAGAGAAAGTGGCAAAGTTAGTGGCACATCCAAAAATAGAAAGTTGACAAAGTTTTAAGGGACGGAAGGAGTTTACAAGGTGAGTGGTCCTGACCATTTATAGGCCGAGACAACGGACAAAAAATAGGCTTTTAATTATATACTCCGTATGTTTTAAGAATGTATTACAAAAGTTTTTTTGTCAAAAAGAATATTCGTTACACAAGTAAATGGTTTGCCCATAGAACTAATCGATATCATAAGCCATAAAAATAATTTTTTGGCATTCTTAGAAGCAAAATTGTCAATAATATTATCAATTTTCAATTCTCGGCTTCGGTGAGGAAGGTAAAATGTTATCCAGTAGTGTTTCATGTGAAACTTTGCCGTTGTGGCTCAATCTACGGATATGAGGGTAGAAGGATATCTTTTACGAAGTATTAGAGTGTAGGGAAATTATTTGGTCAACACCGGCCGATAAGATGTCCCATACAGACAAGTCCATTTGAAGAGCTTTCAGATCGAATTTATTAATAAAATTTTGTGAGAATGTTCTTAAAAATTAAAATATTTACACGAATTTTCAATTTTCAATTCAATTGGGAAGTTAGTTAAATAAATTGTTGAAAAACAATGCACTTTTTAAACATATATAAAGCACACTATTTTTCAATAATTTATTTAACAGACTTCCCGATTGAATTTTAAGCTGAAATTTTATGAACGTAATCTACACTTAATGAAACAGATGCTCACAAACTTTCATTAAGCAATTTCATCTGAGAGCCCCACAAATGGATCTACCCGTACAGAGCTCCCCATCAAGCGCGCATGATGTGAACGGGACTCAACATATATATATATATATATATATATATATATATATATATATATATATATACTACTACTACTACTAAATCATTTACGGGCCCCTCTTCCTGATGGGCCTTGGGCAGCCGCCCATTCTATATCTACGAAATAATTACATATTTACTACTAAAATGAAGATTGTTTACAAAAATGTGATTAGTGACTAGCACTACCAAAAAAACTCGTTATAGACACGGATTTAGACACGGAACATATCCTAGACAATTTTGGCGCGGATATTGGCGCGGAAAGCCCAAATAGTCGATTTTTTCTGCCTATGGCACGGATAAATCCGTGCCACGTAGGTTGTCTCGGACTTTCCGACCCTACTTCCGTGCCAAGACCGAGAAAACTTCAAATCATTTGGCTTGTGGCTATATCCTTCGCAAATTCTGAGACAATTTGGCAGAGAACTATGTCCGACCCAACGGGTGGTGCTTTTTCTTTGAAGTTGGTGCGGTTCAATTCCGTGCCAACCGTTTCCGTGCCTACATCCGCGCCAATGCCGCATCAAATTCAGCTCACCCCCTTTCCATCCTTATATCCGTGCCAAACTGTAACCGTTATGTTGGCAGGCGTATATCGGACCCAAAAACCGTGCCAAAATATAACCGTTAATTTGCCCATCCCACATTCTGCCTCAATGAATTTCCGTGCCAATATCCTAGACAATGAAGGCCGTTGGTACGTTGTGGCTGGTGTATTTCCGTCCCAAGATCCATGCCTACTAATTCTACAAATACATGCTTGGTGTGTGAAACATACTACACTCTCAAAATGATCTCTTTAATATTTGTGTATGATAAATTCTGGATAGATGTTGGAAGTTATATTACTTGATATCTAGAGGTTTCTACTTGGATTTCTTACTTTATACTCGTATTACTTGGTATCGTCGTTGTACTTAAGATAAGTAAATTTCGACCATTCTATTTTTAAATTAATTTGATCATATCCATATTACGAGTTGTTATTAGTAGTATTTGTCTTAATTATATTGATTGAATTGTAGTGTTAGCTTTAAAACGTGAGATATACAATGTAGAGGTTGGATGTACTATAAAAAAATTCATTAAGATATTTTGTAAATTTGTGAGATACAATGTGAGACGTTAATTTGTAAATTTAATAAATTAATTTCGTTAAGATATACTTTCAAAAAAAAATCATTAAGATATTTTTTAATATTCAGGCACAATGTATAGACAAACTAGAAGTTGGATGTATGACCGCTACAAGGAAAATGGTAGAGGATTGAAAAAAGGGTTCAAAAATGGAGTTAACGAATTTATTAGATTCGCACAAGGGCAAACACGCTATATGGATGGAGGTAAAATAAGATGTCCTTGTACAGAGTGTAAAAATTACAAATTTGTTAAAGGTGGGGAGGTTTGTTGGAATTTATATACACAAGGTTTTGTTGAAAACTACTACAACTGGACTTCTCAAGGAGAACCAATTGAGCCTGAGTTGTTGCCGCAAAACGTAGGA